GGTTGATCGAGACCAGTGTTTCTCTTTCCAAATGTGTTATTTGGACCAACCCCACTTTCCTGTGCTATCTTTGGGATTGGTTTAAAGTTATTGTTTACAAAAACTTTTACCTTGGCTTTCTAATTCTCCTGAACTTTTAGGAGCCTACCAATTTCTGGGCAGAGGGCTTTTCCGGTAGCAGTGGCAGTATTAAATAGTTAGTAGTATTAAATAGTTACTCCTTTATTGCTAAGTGTCGGGACATCAGAATTGTTCTGCCACCGTGTGGCCAGACTGGGTAACTGCATCTTCTATAGTACTGGAGGATACCTCTCACCCTGAAATACTGTAGCAGCTTTCCCTTGAGCTAAGACCAGTAGTTCTCAGACTATGAACTGGGTTTTAACTACAGATTCCTTGATTCGGTAGGTCTGGAGTAGCACGTGAGAATTTGCATTTTTAATTTCCCTGGTGATGCTGTTGCTATTGGTCAGGGGTTGAATTTTGAGAACCACTGGCCTCCTGCAATGACAAGTCAATGGTTTTGAGCTCTCAGCTCCACCACTGCAGGTTCCCACCTCACTCCAAATAAAGGGCTGTCATAGTGTTTGAATCCATGCAAACTGTATTGAAAAGAGGTGGGCCGAGACAGGAGGATCACTTGAACTGAGGAGTTCGAGATCAGCCTGAGCAAGAGCGAGACCCCGTCTCTCCTAAAAATAGAAAAAAAAAAATTAGCCAGGCATGGTGGCGCGTACCTGTAGCCCCAGCTACTCAGGAGGCAGAAGCAGGAGAATCACTTGAGCCCAGGAGTTTGAGGTTGCTGTGAGCTAGGCTGACTCCATGGCACTCTAGCCCGGGCAACAGAGTGAGACTCTGTCTCAAAAAAAAACAAGAAAAAATAGTGGGGTGTTCTGTTACATGTTCCCTAGCCACTGGGGGTGGTCTATAAAATTGCATAGTGCCCCTGTAGGTCATCAGGGAAAGCTCAGAGAAGTCTAAGGAACTAAGGAGAGTGGAGGTGAGGTCCTGCTTATCCAAGAGGAGTTGTATTGTTGACTGGGACAAAACTGGGACATGAGCAAACTTAAACTTAGCCACCTGTCCCCCTTGAGGGACTCTTCCTTTCTAATACCTCTCTCCCTAAGCTTTAAATGACAAATGGCTCAGGAAATGCACCTTATCAGATATTCCTAAAGTGAAAGATTATATGACCTAAAGGGAAGGGTTGTTATTTAAGAGTGGAATTTTAGGTACCTTATCAGGCTATTGTGTTAATAATTCTAGTACATGTGCCTGGTTTTTAAACCCACCATGTTGTTAGGAAACTGCCTTCTAACAACACCATGGTGCTGATGGGCCTTTCCCCTTTTTGGGAGATCTTACCAGGCGCTGAGCTGATAACTCTGTCTGAGACACTGCAGCTGCAGGTGATATTTTCTAGATTAGCTACGGCTGCTTAGACATAGCTCACAGATATGAGGAACATTCGCCAGAAAGAGAGATGGGGCAGAAAGCTCACTGGACTTGCGGAACAAGTGTCATCTGATCTCTTGGTACCTCAGCATTGGGGAAAGGTGGATCTTGGTCACCCAAAGATCCCTTCAATAAGTGGTTCCTCCCTGTATCTTTTCTTGTCTACTGATGAGTGTATGCATGTCTTATCTATCCTGGAACTCTCTCTGTAAATAAAAGAAACAGAAACCTGTCTGCTTGACTTTTTTAAGTCTGGGGTCATAGTTCTGAATTCAGAAACTTGCTACCTATTTTGGTTTTAGCCATGGCAACCAAGTGAACATGCTTATATTTGGCTCCGGATTAATGTAGTTCAAGATTTCTTGGTAGTGGTGGTAGAGAAGCAGCATTCACCACAATCTTCTTTTTGGTTTTTGTTAGAGAATCAACCGCAAGAAGCAAAGAGTCCTTGGGGAAATAAGTGTAGAATAGTGGAGCTGAAACCCAATACAAAACTCATTTGATTCAGCCCTTCTGTTTATTGATTGTGAAGTTGAAAACGGAAAAGGTGATGAAAGGACTTTGCTCTAGATCATGTAAAGTTTTGGTAACAGAGGTCATAACCCAGGTCTTCAGTCTGAACCCAGGGCCTTTCCATTCAACAGTTCCCCCTGCTGTTTTGTCACCTGCTGATAGCTCTAAGCCTTGTTCCAGAAAGATTTTAATGTGCCTTACGTAAATATGCAGAAAATAAGGATGAGAGAGACTGGACAAAGAAAAAGGTAGAATAGAAAAAATAAGGGGAAGCCAGAAACCAAGTATTTTAAAAGTATACCGCTCACGCCTGTAATCCTAGCTCTCTGGGAGGCCGAGGCGGGCGGATTGTTTGAGCTCAGGAGTTCAAAACCAGCCTGAGCAAGAGCGAGACCCCGTCTCTACTAAAAATAGAAAGAAATTAATCGGACAACTAAAAATACATAGGAAAAATTAGCCGGGCGTGGTGGCGCATGCCTGTAGTCCCAGCTACTCGGGAGGCTGAGGCAGAAGGATTGCTTGAGCCCAGGAGTTTGAGGTTGCTGTGAGCTAGGATGACGCCATGGCACTCTAGCCCGGGCAACACAGTGAGACTCTGTCTCAAAAAAAAAAAAAAAAAAAAAGTATATACCATGAGGAATTGCACATTTTCTGGAAATGAGTTACAAATTCAGGTGTAAACTTACTAGCTGTCATACAAAGGGGAAAAAGCGATTACATAATTTCTTAAAAAGTTAAACATAATGCCTTCTGTATGATGCAGCCATTTTACACAGTATGTACTTACTGAAGAGAAATGAAAGCATATAAAGACTTGTACACAAATACTAATAGAAACTTTATTTGTAAAAACCAAAAACTGGAAACAACCCAAATCTCCATCAGCAGGTGAATGGATAAACAAATTGTGGTATATCCTTGCAAGGGAATATCGCTCAGAAGTTGAATCAACTGTTATATACACCCCAACATGGATGAATGTCAAAGTAGTTATGCTGAATGAAAGAAGTCAGTCTAAGGAGAGTACATATTTTATTAACATGATTCCATTTCTGTAAAACTCTAGAAAAGGCAAACTATAGTGATGGAAAGCAGATCAGAGGTTGTTTGGGAATGGAGAGCGCAGGGAGGGCTGGGAGGGAGAAATGATAATGGGTCCTGAGAAGGCCTTTGAGGGCTGGATATGTTCATTTCATGATTGTGCCAATGGCTTCACGGTGCGTGCCTACGTCAAAACTTACCAATTGTATATTTAAATATGTGCAATTTAGCATGTCAATTACAACTCCATAAAATTGTGAGAAAAAAGTTATTGTTTATATGACAGGAAAAGCACAGTGCCTCCTGTCACTGAGATGTGAGAGAAAATTCCTCTCTGAGTTTCAGAGTGTTGCTGCTTGTAACTCCTCAGCGTAAGCCCATGGCAGAATGGCAGAGCAGCCTTTAACAAGACGGTTCTACGAAGGATGAGTCAGTAGGGAGACGTAGGAGGCAGGAACTTTGAAGTATTTTAAGAGTGCTGCTCTCTGCTGTTCTGCTTTGGGCTGGGGATAAAATTTTAAATTACCAGAGGAAAAGCCGTTTCGCCCATCCTTTCAGCAACGCTTCCTACATGCTGTTCTGTCAGTCGAAGTTTTGGTAAGTACCCGAGAGCAGCGGTTTTGAGAATTAGTCATGGATAAAATGAGTATGAGGAAGGCTATTCTGTCCCTCTGGAGAGTGCGGATGGGGGCAGTAACACTTTTCTCTCTTCACGTTAGCATTTTGGGTGTGTCCTCACTTAGCATTTTTTTCTGACAGTTCACAGGGGCCAACCTGTCTTCCAGCAGACAGCAAGTGCTATCTTGGCAAAATCACCATCCGTATTCCCTTGACAGTCACCACCATGCCAAACAGTGATGGGCACACAGGAAATTCACAGTAAAAAAAGGCTGGCAAATTTGAGTAAGTGTTGGGAATGATAAAAAGTATGTAGATTATATTTTTAACTCTTAATAAATACTTGCCTCTTGGCAATGTCTTTTTTTGATTAATCTCTTCAGCTTATCTCATTTATTTATTCTGCAGGTCGTTGACTCTCCTGCATGTCATAGCTGATTATATTTGCTCTTTGGTGTCCTGGTTATTTTTGGTTTACGTCTGTATGGGTGGCAATTTCCTGCAACAGTGATGTGTACAGTCTCTTCCTCCACCTTCCTTTCAGTGTCTTGGGGCCAACATCACTGACATTTCAGTAATACCCTTCTCTCCCCCCAGCAAAGATATCCAATGTGAGGTTGACATTATCTTCTGTGCTAACCTGTCTGACAGCTCATAAAAACATCTATTGAGACACTATTTTGTGCCAGATACTAAGCTCGGTGATTAACGAGACTACAACTCCTCACAAAAACCCAAAGAAATAGACTCTATGGTTATTCCAACTTTATGGATAAGGAAATTAAAGCTCAGTGAGATTACATCATTTGCCCGTGATCACACAGCCAATCAGCTGGAAGAATTAAGACTTGAATTCGAGTTTATTTGACATCAAAATCTATTCTCTTAACTGTGTCATACTGATTTCCATAAGAACTTACCTTCATTGAAACTTTTCTGACCACTCCTCACTTCTTAAGGAATTTACTGTTTGCCTGGTGACAAATTTAATCAGGTATAATTTTGTGTGCTAATGTATTATCAATAGTACCAGCAGGGAAGCAAATCTCTTACCTGGGATGTACAAATGTCAAATGGCTTTGTCCCGCGGCTGAAAATTTTATTACCTTGATAGTCTGGTGGGCATGGTATTTGGTAATTTTCCCACTAGTTGTCAGCTTGCTTTTCTTGTAAAATTGATCCTACATCCTGGGTGTCTTGTTTCCTGCAAGAGAAGGCAGGATAGAGGTTGGACGTATTGGGAGTCTCAGGAGGGGCTTTGGCCACAGTAGCTCTTCAAAGGTAAATCTGCCTTTTCGAGGCTCAGGCCTGCTCTCCCCTCAATCCTTGGTTATTTGGGGCTGACTGGGAGCGCTGCAAGCACTTGCCATTGTCACCCCCTTTTCAAATCCCTGTAGGCCCCATTTTCTGGATGGTCCTCTTCAGGGCAGCCTTGACATCAGCATTCCGCAGGCTATAGATGATGGGATTGAGGATGGGGGTGACCACAGCATAGAAGAGGGACAGAAGAGGGTCAGTGGCTGGATTGTAGCTGGCTTTAGGGCGAATGTAGATAAAGATGGCAGTGCCATAGAAGAGGGAGACCACAATCAGGTGGGAGGAGCAGGTGGAGAAGGCCTTATGGCGACCAGCAGCAGATGGGATCTGGAAGATGGTAGCCAGGATACGCCAGTAGGATCCCAGGATGAGGCCAAAGGGGCAGAGGATGATGAGGCCAGCAGCCAAAATTATCTGCAATTCATTAAGTGAGGTGTCTCCACACACCAACTGCAGGACAGGCTGGATCTCACAGAAGAAGTGTGGGATGGCATTGGGGCCGCAGAAGGGCAAGGAGAAGATGAAGGACGTGTGGCCGAGCCCCACCATTGCCCCGCAGGTCCATGCTGTCCCAGCTAGCTGCAGACATGCTCGGCGACTGAGCAGCTGTGGGTAGTGGAGGGGTTTGCGGATGGCGGCATAGCGGTCGTAGGCCATGGCTGCCAGGAGGCAACACTCCGTGGCACCAAAAAAGAGGAAGAAGAACATCTGGAGAGCACATCCAGAGCGAGGGATGTGGCGCTGGCCAGTGAGGAGGTGGTGAAGCAACAGGGGGACAGTGATGGACGTGTAGCCAATCTCCAGGGCTGAGAGGATGCGAAGGAAGAAGTACATGGGGGATTGGAGAGCAGCATCGGTGGAGACCAGCACCACGATGAGGAGGTTCCCTGCCACGGTCACCAGGTAGACAGTGAGAAAGAGAGAGAAGAGCAAGCCCTGGAGGTTGATCAGGTGGGAGAAACCAACGAGAATGAATTCAGTCACCATGGAGGTGTTTGCAGGCATCTTGTCACATCCCTTTGACTGGGAGACAGAGAAATGGCAAGGAAAAGTCTCAGCTGTGGGACAGGGAAGTGGCAAAGACGACCTCTTTCTGCACCTTATCACAGCGCTGGAACTCCCTTTCTTTTGGAATAGCATGGCCTTTGAAATTAGCAGCCCAGCCTTGGGTCCATGTTCCACCCTTGATCACTCTTAGAACTCCGGACAAATATTTGTCTCTCTGAGCCTGGATCCCTCACTTAATCTCTCCCTGGCAGTGCCTGTCTTTCAGAAGAACACACTGAGCTCTGTTTTCGTTTCCTCTTGGGCTGAGGGTTGGATCATTCTAGCTTTTCAACTTTTCCCATCCTTCCTTCAGGGCTGGGGGCAGAATTTTCCCTTCTAGCAGATTTTTTTTTTCTCTCACAGCCAGAATTGTTCCATGTTCAAGGCATGAAAAATCCCATTCCAAGTCAAGGGAATTTCCTCTCCTGTTTTTCTCCCTCTTGAATCTTTCTGTTTCTTTTTCTTTCCTTCTTTCACATTTTCTGTCTTCCCTCCTCTCAGCTTGTCTCCTGTCTGGCTCAATTATCACCTCTTGCCCTCTACTTTTCCTTTTTCTATCTCTTTCTTCAGTTACCAGATTCACTCAGCCTTTCTACTTTTTCTATTATTTTACCATCAGACAAATTTTGTAGTTTTCAAGGGGGAGAAAAGGAGTTTGAGAAATCCTCTCTTTCAAGCTCCTCCAGGCAGTTAAGCTGTTCAACTCCCCGAGGGATGAGGATTTCTCCAGTTTTAAAAAAATGCTCAGGAGAGAGATGATAAGACCTTCCTCAATTGCTTATTTCTGCATCTTACAGACTCTCGAACTTCATCTTCTTATATTGTAACACAGAAGGAAATCCCCAGACCACACACATAAATTCCACAAATCCACACATAACACACCACATTTCTAAATACAAGCACAGAAGAACATCCTCAGGTGCTGGATTCATCTAAAGTCGCAAATAAATCATGTATTATACAGACATCATTACAAGTAACAGTAAAAGTCAAAACACATTGAACATAAAAGTGTAAACACCCAAAGATACACTTAAGTATATACATAAATCCAAACTCTGTGCAAAAAATATAACCATATTCAAGAATGTATATTAGAAATACAAGCCCACAATGCTGATATCCTTTTGCAGCTGGAGAGTTTGTGGTTTATTCCACTTTGGGGGCTCTTCCAGTGTTTTCCAGAAGCTATCGTCTGAATAGTGTCTTTCTATTTGGGAAATAACAGTGATGAAGGCAGCTGGCATTTGATGACTTGCTTATTTTCTCTTTTCTCTACTTCATGGATCCCTCATGAGGAAAATTCTCTTAGGTTTGGTGTCTCTTTAAAGTCTCTGAAGACTTGAGTCTCCAAGCGTATTTGGCTTTCCAATGGGGAAAGCTCTTCGTATAACCAATTAATCTGTTATTTTAAGTCTATTTCTTAGATTTCAAGAAGTAGAGGACGACCTGTCAAGAACATTTCAGAGAAAATGTCCAGAGCTATTGGTGTCTCTTAGTTCTCCCATAATATTTCTGGTTTAACCATTTTAATTTTCTTCTCTCTCATTTTTTTTTTCTATCACTGTAGATGTCCTAGTACATCTACAAAAGGTAATAATGCATTTTTACCCATCTTATTGATATTGATATAACATAGTAATTAATTTATTTGATAACCATTCATAGAGTCCCTTGTATATTTCAGTCACTCTACACAGAACCAAGAATATAAAAGGAAATAAACATGTTTTTGATCTTAGTGAGCTAATAAATGCCATTTTCTTGGAAAATTTTCCCTAATTTTTCTTTCTTTCTTTTTTTTTCATTTATTATACAAGATCTTTCTTTGTATTATCATTTGGACTTATTGTTTGATTTGTTTCTTCTGTGTTCTTACACATTTTCATAGATGTGATAAAGCTTGTGTGGCAGGATGTTTTCAAGATATGTAACAACCTTTGCAACAACAAGCCCCAAACTCAAACTACTTTAAATAATAAATCTATTTATTAATTAATATAACTAGAAGTTTAGGAGTTACTTATACCAGATTTCCTACTTAGTTTTCCCTCTTATTCCTTTGTAGTAATGTAAATAACAGTGGCTCAAAAAGGATGAACATTTATTTATCTCTCACTTAAATGTCTGAAGTTTTGCGGTTCAGGGAAATATGGCTGTTCTGATCCCCAGAGTCCTCAGGAATCCAGTGTCCTTTCAGTTAATCGATTCCTGGAGTGTGGTTCTCTCAGGTTAAGGTGATGGTATGCATTCCAGGGAACAAAATGGAGTAGAACAGTCTGCATTGCTATGTGCCCAGGTAAACATTCTCTTAGTGTGACCTATGTAGTATTATTGCCAAAAATGTTTAATTGAAGTATAATTGTAAGGAAATAATCAGACAAATCCAGATTGTGGCACATTCTACAGACAACTGACAAAAATTCTTGAGAAATATCAGTGTCTTTAAAGACATAACAAAGGTGGGGGGATGGGGGGATGATATTGTTCTAGATTGAAGAAGACTAAAATGCATGACAATAAAAGTTAATCTATAATCCTTGACTAGATATTAGATCATCAACAACAAAAAAACTAAAACAACTTTAAAAGAGTTAAAATAATTGGGAAAATTGAGTATAGGTTTTATATTATTGTTTCAATGCTAAATCCCTTGGGTATACTAATAGTATTGTGGTTATGTTGGTGAATGTCCTTGTCCTTAGAAAGATGCAGAATGAAGTATTTAAGGACAAAGAGTCATGCTTGCTGCAACTTCCTTTTAAGTAATTCAACCAAAAAATGCATCCATACATATACATCCAAGAAAGTACATTCATATGTGCATATGCATATAAATATGAATCTTTGACTCTGCTCTGTGAAATATTTGTCCTTGTTAATTATCCTCCATGGTCTTGTCTGAGGAGATTGTATAAATTTTATACCCTTCATCCTACCACTTCAGTTTTGGAATATATTAGCCACTAGGCTATGCTGCAACAGCAAGCAATCTACAATCTTTGCAGCTTAATGGTAAAACAATTTATTTCTAAATTGTAAAGAATCTGCTGTGGGTTCAGATGACCCACTAGGATAGCTGTCCTCCCTGTGTGGGCTCAATGTTCCATGCAGCTGTGATCTTAGAGCATCTCTGTATCGCCATTTGCTTCTACAATTGCCATAGCAGAGAAGAGTGGGTTGGAGAGTCAATCGTCAGCAACTAAACTGCATCATTTCTGATCACATTTTACTGGCCAGAGCAAATCACGTAACCATGCCTATCTTCAAAGAAACTGTGGCAGAGTGTACTTTCCAAAGATACCCGCAGGAATTCTTCCTCACTCACATGCTCTTCTACAACATCACTTTGCCCCTTCTTGTCAAGCAGTGAAGCCAACTTCCCCCACTCACTTAAATCTGGACGGGCTATGATTATTTCAACCAATAGAGCCTGGCGAAAGCATCACTACATGATTTCTGAGGCTGGGTCGTAAAACGTGATAGCACTTATATCTAGTTTCCTAGAATATTCATATTTGGACCCCTGAGCCACCATGTAAGAAGTCCAACTACTCTGAAGCTATTGTGCTGTGAGGAGCCAAGCCACATGGAGAGGCCACTGGTAGGCACTCTAGTGAGCAGTCATACTTTTGCATCGTCCTGGACATGTGAGTGATCATTCCAGCCAGATGATTCCATATTCCTGTTTTAAAATCACCCCCAGTCTTTGGGTCTTCCAGTCCGAGGTCTCACAAATTTTGGAGCCAAAATAAAACATCCTACTTCTCTACTATGGAACGAATGTTGTGTCCCTCTCCCACATTCATATGTTGAAACCTAACCCCCATTGTTATGGTAATGGGAAGTGGGATTTGATTAGGTCATGAAGGTGGAGCCCTCATGAATGGGATTAGTGCCCTTATAAAAGAGACCTCAGAGAACCCACTCATCCCTTCTGCCTTGTGAAGACATAGCAAAAAAACAGTCATCTATGAGCCAAGAAGTGGCCCCCATCAGACACAAAATTTGCTGATGCCTTGATCTTGGACTTTCTAGCTTCCAAAACTGTGAGAAATAAATGTAGTTTAAGCCACCCAGTCTATGATATTTTTGTTATAGCAGTCTGAATGGACTAAGACGTCTACCTGTCAAAATCCCTGACCCAGAGAATCCGTAAGTATAACAACATATAATAAAATAATTTTTGTTTCAAGATAATAAGTTTTGGAGGTAGTTTATTATACTGCAATAGCATCTAGAACATGTAATAATATCTGGAAGTGGGATGCTATTGTTAAAAAAACCTGAAATGTGACATTGGCTTTGGGAACGAATAAGAAGTAAAAGAGGGAAGGGCCTTTGAAAGACTGTTGATGAGAAAAGTGGGAAAAATGTTAAAGGAAAGTGAAGAAAATGGTATTGGAAGGTGGGAGAAAAGAAATCCTCAATATGTAGTGAAAGAAAATTGAGGACAACTGTTGTATGCAGTAATGTGGCAATAAAAAATCGACCTAATAAAGTAATGAGTCTAGCTAAAGAGATTTTCAGATAGAATGTTGAAAGTGTCAGCTGGGTTCTTTTAACTGCATATTAAATGTTAAATGTACAGACTTGAAAGAGAGGAACTAAAAAAGACATTTTTCAGTTGTCAAGCAAAATGTTAAAAAAACATGCAAGAGCCAGGATTTGCTGAATTCAAAAATAAAACTATTCCCCCCCCCATCTCCTAGAAGAAGTTCTCAAAGTAGAGAAGGGTTTTAGGGCAACAATCACACCCACAATGCTCTAGGAAAATGTCTTAGGGTAAAGATGACATCCAAAGCGTAACTTAAAAACCCTTTGTTAAAACCCCAGAAAGATTTAACATGGTTCCTCATGGACACTTTCAAATAGAAAAAAGGGCTTTTAAAGTTCTCGAAGGCATGCCTTGTGGATTCTCTCTGTTAAATAATAGTGATTCTAAGAATCTTAAGGGTATCATTCCACAGCAGCCTAATAAGGAGCCTAAGGAGAAAGACTTATGCTGAAGAGTTTTTGGT